TTTTTTTGCAAGAATTTAAAAATTGTATGGATAAGGGGGGGTCGATCTCCTAAGCCCCCCTCCCCAAAGTCTTCCCATTCGTTGCGCGCATTTCAATAGCCTATGCTGAATAGTAAATAAGCGTACTGTTTCTTCGTTAGGGGTTTTTGGCTTGGTTTGGCTCAACCATGGGCTATTTTTACTCTGCCCACCACGGGTATTGAAACTAGATCTTTAGCGTCTTAAATCTGCAGGTCTAACGTTGATCCGCCAATAGATTCGCTAGGGAGAAAGTTGGAAGTTGTATGCATCATGTATCAGACTCCTGAATCGGCATTGCGGTCTGTTTCAGGATGTTAATGTAATGAACGCAATAATTGCTTCCTCCTTTTCTTTTAAAAATAAATAAATAAATCCCAGTTTATGTTGTTCCAGACGTTGAATTTTCGGTGCCATGTTGATATAACATGTTCAATTTTATAATACATTGGCTCTAACATTTACTAGAAGGCAGTTTTTGTGATCATATGGAGATTTTAAAAAATGTGAGAAAACGTTCACTTTTTAAGCAGACAAACTATATTTTCTCTATTTATTTTTAAGTGTATTTTAGGTTTTAAACACGTAGAGAGTTTTCGCGTATTGATGACTCTAATGCTTCACTGGCAGTTTCTGGAGTATTTGTGTAAAAAGATAGAATTTTATAAGATCAGTATTTCATGCATCACATTTTTTTTAATGTTTGAATGTTAATTTTTTATCTCGATGTTTGAATCATGATCACCTATTTCACAAACTTCTCAACATATCAGACCTAAACACTGTTTATTCTTTAAATACTTTTGTAATTTTGTTGTTAAAATAACAGTCAATATATCACTAGTTAACTAACCCTAATTTAATTGTAGTCATTTTTTTAAAATTTTGTGTGATCAATAAGTTTTAATTTAACATAAAAATGACCATTATTTTTTTATTTTTTTTAGTTTTAAGTAAATGCGATCATTTTAAGTTTCAACTTTATTAATAGAATTAGCGGTCAGCTCACAGTGTTTAGGAACTTCGCAAAGAGTGGCTCATCTAAAGAAATTTTATGTTCATGGGAGATTAAAAAAATAAGCTTTAGTAACTTAGTGTTTGTAGAATCTTTATTGGGTTATCATGTTTTATCTGCTGAAACAAAAATAGTTATAAGAGTTGATCTAACTTTTGTTTGGCCTACTCTCCTAGTTTAGACCAGTTTTGAAAAATACCAATCATTGTTGGTAACCTTGGGTGAAGCCAAAACGAAAGAAGAAAATGAAATCTTATACCAATAGTCAGATGAATTCTGGTTATGATGTTTTAATGTCGTTTTCTTATCACTGGATACCCGTCGATACTGCATGAATTGAGAGTACATGCAGTAACACTGTTACCAATGAATTATTCAGTACTATTAATTGGATATTATTATTATAAGCACCGAGTGTTGTTCTTGTCTTTACTAGTTTTTGATCACACACACACACACACGCATACCTATATATGTATATATTTGAGGGAAGGAAGTTACTGTACATTGTACATGTCAGTAAGCTAAAAGGTATAAGTTATAAAAACTTGAAAGTTTTAGAAACATCAGACGCCTAGGTATTTATGATAGCATCAAATGCAATCATACTTTCGTCTACGAAGTACAGTGTAAAAAAAGAAACAGTCATGTTGGTTCTATACAAGAAATGTTCTTCGAGGTTTTCAAACTAATTTCAGTTTGACTTCGTAAAGCCTTCGAGGAAAATTTTTTAACAATTTTTAACTCTTTGAGCTTAGAGTTTAAGCTGAGGATAAATACAAAGCTGCAATTTTATAATTTAGGCGCTAAGGATAAACTTAAAGTTCTAGACTTAAAGGATAGTTTCAAGTTCTAACTTTTGAACTTAGAGTTGGAGGACAAATTTAAAGTTCCAGCTTTAGAACTTAAACACTGAGGATAAACTTAAAGTTATAGTTTCAGAACATAGACTCGGATCAATAAAATGCTCATAATATTTCACGCACAGTTCAATTTTATGTGTACGATATATTTACAAAAATTATTTAACTATTGAAACATTGTTTAGAAAAAAAAGAATGATATAAACGGGATTGAATCATCGACCTCCAGCAAACGAAGTGTGTACTGTGAAATATGAGCCAAACCTCCAAGTTTATTTGTTTGTTTTTTCACATATGCAGCATTATTAAGTGTAATAATGTATGTATGAGAAGAGTATATGTTTTATATTGAAAAATCCTTTAAATAATGTTGTTATTGTATTATGTAGTTGGGCATGAATGAAACACTAATCTACTAAGCAGAACATGAAGTTGTTGTATTAAAATTTGAAGTAAAAAAGTATAAAAGCATCCCTGTACACAACTTGTTTTTTTTTTTTGTATAAACACCTTGACTTTATGGATAATCGCCATCCTTGTCTAAGACACTGAGATTATTTTCTTGGTCGAACTTTTGATAATGCTACTTTATAAAGTAGTGAATTTTTAGAATTATGATATTAAAAATAGTAAAAATCAACTGTTTATTTTATCGCTGTTTCACTTATTTCTCTTTTCCTATTCTTCCCTAAAATATTAAAAATCATCGGCTCCACTACCAACAATACCTTTAGGCCTAGTTGTTGATTTTTATGCGTCTGTATTGGGATAGTTGAAAACGTATAATAGTTACAAAATGGCGAATTTTTAAAATTATGGTATTGAGAAGTCTAAAAATAAATTGTCATCATGTTTTTTTTTTTTTGTAAATTGTCTTATATGTCTAAATCACGTTTGTATATCATCTGAAACCTTTAATTATTTTCTTGTGCACAATGTGTTAGCTATAGAGCATCGAAAATGAATGAAATTGTGGTAATGACTGCGTGTACGAAGCGTATTTAAACTTTGGGCCTAATTGTCAATCTTAGACGATTGTTGGAACTTGTAATGAGGTGTAATAGTATTGAGTTATTTATAAGCCAGGAAAGGTAAATAATTAATTCATTGTGTTTCCTTGCGTCTTTCTTTATGTTACTGAAGTAATTTTGTTTGAAGTTAATATTTATAAACCTCGTTGTTTGGCACTCGTATCGAACAATTCATGTTAAACGCCGTTCATACTCATACAAAAGAAAAACCGCCATTGTACAATTAGATAGGAGTTCCCATGTGAGTTAGCACGCATACACGCACAGACTGAATGACAGACGATATTCTCTTAATTATGTAGATTTGATAACATATGGTACACAATCTTGTTTTAACTAATGTTCCACTGTTTGTCAAGAGATAGCTTTCTCGACTCTGTTTGTCTGATACGTACGCAAATTTCTATCAAAAAAGATGTTTCGAGTGTAGATTATATTAAAAAGCCTAAAATATATAAAAATTGTAATCAAAAATGAAATGAACATACAAAACCCGACTAACATACATCTGTTAAAACTTGTGTTCCATTGAAGCAGTGACGTTTCGTAATTTAGTATTGTAGGGAAATAAGTGTCTATTATCGTGAAAGTCTTGCAAAATCATTATATAGTTATATACTACTATTCAATAAAAGCAGGTTTACACTTTTTATAAGTACAAAATTATTTGTGTGTATATACACACCTATGTATTTATGGATATTGTGTTTCATAAACTAAAATAGCTTTGACTTATTTGTTAAAACAGCTTTAACTGTATTTCAACGTTTCCTAGTCTGTGAAAGTTCCTAGCCGGCTCGACAAGATCGACGTATCTTTCGAAAGAATTATGCGGTGGGCTGGTGAAAATAATGCAGCGATGAAGCTGTGAAAGGCCTGTGACTCTGAAGTGATGGTGTCTGACTACATTTAATATCAAAATTGTAGAAATGTTTGAAGTAAGTTCAAACAAAACTCGACCGGTTGTTTTTCTCACACTTGCGGCACAAAAATCAATAGAGGATGCTGGCAACCAAAATACATCCTTCATCAATTAAAACCGAAAAATATTCAATGGTATATAAATGACAGTCTATTTTAACTATTGGTGTAGTCATGTACCTAGTACTGTCATCAAAATCTACAATCAAGATTCTGCCATGAACACATTTTCGATCGCAACACGTTGATGTAATTTAAATGTCTTTGCTCACTGAAAACTCACTCCTAGACCCCATCATACCTGGGTTGTTTTCAGGGCGCGTTTTACTCCTCGGTACCTCTTAATAAGGGAGCTATGCCATATGAATAAAGACCCCTCCGGGCCCCACCGAGTCCTCATGCTAAGTTTGGTCCTAGCTCTAAATCTGTGGGAGGAATTCGTGGACAAACCAACAAATATACAACGTGAATTTATATAGAATAAACAAGACGAACAAAAATAGTTAAAACCAGACTTACTAGATTAATGTCACTTTCATTATTACTAACTTGGAAATTACGTTTACTGAATTTGTACGTATGGAACATTAATTTTTTGTTTTTTATTCACTTGGTTTACAGCACTGTTAGCACGTTCTTTTGCATGTAAAAGCCAGAAGTAATGGTGAAGCATCGTACTTGTGCAATATGTCTGTCATGTCGCTACCTAACGTATCAGGTCTTGCTATACGTAGCCTTGATGTGATTTGCATAAGCAGTGATATCATCTTATTTTACACGTTTCTACAATGGACTGAGAGGATACTGAAATATCTAAAAACGCAACGAGTCATCGTTCTATTCGTATTAGCGAGATACAAAACGGAGAAATCAGTAAAGTACACCGTAAAACCTTGATAGCCGCTAGCGAACAAAAAACTACATGTGATTAGCTAACCATTTAATGTAGATAGTGAAATCACAACAAAGTCAAGGGCTTCATCTGTATGGCTGATAACGACGCTAGTTTCCAAGTAGGGCGGACTCTTAACAGTGCTCTCTGCCTTTTGAACTCTCTAATCACGCTCCCTGGTATCGATGCTTTTTCTGTTTCACTCCCCCTATCTTATCAATTGGTCCGCTGTCACGGCTGCTTAGCGGACTCTGGACATCCCGGGTGGTATAAAAGGACGAGGAGAGGATGGCACACACATAACTGAGATAAACAAGGTCAATTAAGCCGCTATTCATATTGCGGCCATGAAGACCCTACTTTTGGCTATTGCCTTCGTGGCAAGTGCAGTTGCAGGTAAGTTAATAATATCTTTATTACAAGAATAGCAACAAAACCTCAAAGAACTACAATTATACAATCTTGCGTTGGATATCTACTTAAATCATAGCATAAAATTAGATGCAGCCGCAATTCTTATAAATAGATAAAAAAGAACAGTTTCTTGGGTAAGAGGAAAAGTTTGACAATTCCTTATAAGTAAACATACGAACTTGTAAAGTTTCCCGTTACTTTAAATGGGGGGTTCTGTTCACTTGAGCTTTCAATCATCATAACATGTTGTTCTGACATGCTTAACTAATAACAAAGTTTTTATTTTAATGTATTGTTAATACAAACAAAATTTAGTTTTCATCAGATAAAAAATAGATAATTTCGTGTATAATATGTATTGATATAGGTTATATAGAATTATCGTGTATAATATGTCCTGATATAATTTATAGAGAATTATCGTGTATAATATGTCCTGATATATGTTATAGAGAATTGTCGTGTATGATATGTCCTATATAATTTATAGAGAATTATCGTGTATGATATGTCCTGATATATGTTATAGAGAATTATCGTGTATGATATGTCCTGATATATGTTATAGAGAATTATCGTGTATGATATGTCCTGATATATGTTATAGAGAATTATCGTGTATAATATGTCCTGGTATCGGTTATAAAGAATTATCGTGTATAATATGTCCTGATATAGGTTATAAAGAATTATCGTGTATAATATGTTCTGATATAGGTTTTAGAGAACTGTCGTGTATAATATGTCCTGATATAAGTTTTAGAGAACTGTCGTGTATAATATGTCCTGATATAAGTTTTAGAGAACTGTCGTGTATAATATGTCCTGATATCGGTTATAGAGAATTATCGTGTAATATCATATAATATATAGTAATAATTTATTTGTATAATGTATTTATAATTTCATAGCAGATTAACGTATCACGGAGTCCTCATTTTAGAGTTGAGAATATAGTATATTTCTTATGTGTATTATAGATATTGGGCAAGCCTCGCGTTGAACGTACGGTTTTAACGTACAGAAAGAGTTTTATTTACTTTAATTAATGCACGTATACTTTTTCCTTACAGCTACAGTCTTGTAAGACTTATGATACTTACTATACCTCTTCTATAGTAATCATATTTTATTATTCGCTCAGTGTTAAGCTAATTTGTTAAACATTAAGTCACGTTTATTTCGTAAAAGTAACTTAATTAATAATATTAACGTACTTTAATATGTATATTACCTTTTGGCCTCGGTAATTTGATACTAATAGTATAAAAAATCATTAACTATCATAACTCAATCTTCTATATTAAGTTCACTGACCGAAGCTTCTGATAAGTGAGTTCGTTCTCCCTTTCTGTTTCTTTATTTATTTGTGACTCGGAAAACGATGAAATCATATTTCGCACAGTTGTTTTGACATCGTTGATTAAAACCCGTTGATTCATATAGAAAGATGACTGATACAACACTCGTCCCGGTTGAAAATGTAGCTACCACTGAGCTGCATGTTTCACTGAACTGTTAACCCTTTGACTAGGAAGATTTCGACACATCTTTATTTGTTAAGCTTTTATAGCGTAAACAAATTTCTGGAATCTTTTGAAACCTAATGACATTGTATGTGAAACATAACACGAAATTTCATAACCAAAAAAATATTCCTGATGACTGATGATAATATAACTTGTATTCTTAAAATTATACTAAATAATTTATTTATACTTAAATGCATAGTAAGCAAAACATCTGTAATATAAAAGTAATGTGGATGAGTAGAATCTTCAAGTAAAGAAGGTTTCAACTTTTCTAATAATCTGGAAGACTATTCTTTCTATTAAAGGTTATTGGAGAATGTTTTAACCTTCGAAAATCAGTAATCTTATGCGATCTTTGGAAAAATATATATTTAAGACAGTTTCTGCTTTCAAAAATGAGTCAATGTACATGTTATTTTTTCCACAGTAGATGGCTAACCCTATTTTTACAAAGTATTATTGTGAATTTGAAATTTGTTATTTCTAATTATATTATATAATGGGTTTTGTGCTTCTTCTGGTTTTCTTATCAATAACGTTTACTTCTTTTAGTTCCCTTGGATTTTACCAGTGGACAATGTGCTAGGCACTGTACGGGTAAGTACTTAACTTCTACCATATCCTTAACACGGATGAGCTAATCTGTATTTTAAAAATAATTATTGATTTCACAAAAAGTATTACATTCGTCTGGTAATATTGATCACTAAGAAAACATAGGTGTAAGTACAACTATCGTATTAATAAAAAAATACATTAATTAATAAATCAAATTTTTTATATACCATTTTCATAACTCATTGTTTAATTGTATTTATCTACCTGTTTGATCACAGAGAGCAGCAAGTTCAAGTATGACCTAGGCAAAATTTACACCTACGACTACGAAGCCCTCACGGTAACGACTTTACAAGGAACGTTTAGCGAAGACTCCCAACTGTATATTAAGGCCCAGGTTGAGATCGAAGCTTTAACCAAGTGTGACCTATCCCTTCAAGTAAGACACGAATTACCTGTAACATCTGTTTTTGGTTATTAACGTGTCTCATTTAGGATTGAAATTCACTCATTTTTTATCCATATTTTTATAATATTAGTGTATTTGTTATCACTTGATGAGCTCCTGTTTTTCGCCACTCAATGGCTCAGCGGTATATCTGAAGGCTTATGAGATTAACAATCGTGTTTTGATACCCGTAGTGGGCAGAGCATTGTGCAGCTTTGTGATTAACAACCGCATCTCCCTGTTTTCTATTGTAGAGTATCTTATATTAGAAACAGAAACCTTTTTTTTTTACGTTTTTCTATCCTTTCAATACTAATCATATTTGAATATCACAATTTTCGGCTTTATTGTTTTTACAGTGAGCGATATAGATTTCAGATTTACTACATATTGATAACACCTTGAGCTATTTACAACCAAACTTCGTCCGAAACTTTATTATTGATGTCAAAAGCTGAAATTTAAGAATATAATAGGCTTGGCAATTTTAAATATTTTTACAATTTAAGAAAACACGTGCTCCTAGATTACAGTTTAGGTAACGCTTCATTTGATTTGGAAATAAACTATATATATGGGAAATAAATAATAACCGTTTTCAATCATCCTAACTTTTAAACTTGTCGATCGCATTAGCAGTGCCCCCCCCCCCCAGTGGGACAACAGTAAGTCTACCGATTTACAACACTAAAATCAGGGGTTCGATTCCCCTCGGTAAACACAGCAGATAGCCTAAAGTGACTTTGGTATGAGAAAACACATACTCTTTCATCAGCAGTTGTTGTTGTTTTTTTCTATGTCACATAACTGTTTAAACTTGTCGCTATAGATAAACATTCCTTCCATACCAGTGGCATCCTTAGGCTTGTTTGCTATTAAGCAGAAAGTTACACAATGAGTTATCTGTATTGTGCGCACCATCGGTATGAAAACTTCATTTTTAACATTATAAACCCTCACACTTACCGCTGCGCCACCTGGGTGGATGGGTGGTGAGGGCACATTCTTAATAAGAGTAATTGCGTTTAGCAAGTAAAATTTTGCAGAAAAGCCTCCGACAGAAACGGAGATTGATCCCCATATATGTTTAAAGTTAAGTTATAACCTGGCTCCCACGTGTACAATACCGAAAAGTAATTTTGATATGCATTACCTGAGGTATTTTTTTAAACACAATTTGTGGTAACAATTAAATTTATGGTGCAATACAAATCCACTGTATATTGGAGTAACCATATGTTAACCTCAGCTGCCAGCTGATCTGGAGTGTCAGAACAAGTAGCGCAGAAGGAATTTTTGTTATCTAAATTGACAGTAACCATCAATTTTGTCCTCGTTATCTGCTTCAAAACAAAATACTTGTCATCTTCGGAACCATACACCATTATCTCTGAGAAACAAAGCTCAGTCCATCGTTCGATTCGATCCCTATCGGAATCACGCACTGTTCACAAGTGCTTACGAAAAATATCGCTAAACTCGTTTCATATTTGGCAACATTTGATTGGTCACCTGAGTGATAGTTTTACAATCGTGATTTGAATCTCTGAACTTGGAACATTCTTAACAACGTTATCTAGGGCTTTTAGTTGAGCTAGCGATACTTTGGACTAGATTAGCCACATTCTCACAACAATACAAGTTTTGCGAAATCTCAAATCCTTGAAGATACCTCTTATCAATATTTGAAAACCTAAGACCAGTTATCTTAGCCCAGCTGTAGAGGGCGTTACACTTCAAAAACTTTTCCGTCCTTTCTTCACTGCAAATAATATAAAACTAGTATTCGTCAAAAATTATAAGTAATTTTAAGAGAACAATCGAAAATTTTTAAATCTTTTTTATATTTTCTTAAAAAATAGTTTTATAGAATACATAATTATTAGATCTCCACGACGAACATAATACAGATAGCGCATTATGTAACTTTGAATTAAAACAAACAATTTTTCTAAAACAACTAATCATGTCCTGATTATTTACATTGCAAATTAATGTATGTCAAGCCATTAGAACAAATTAGCATCACAAAGGTTGATAAGGTTATTTAATTAGTAGAGACAAATATCATTAAGATAAAAACTGTTTATCTGTTGAGATTATAGCTTTGTCTTTTGATCAATTTTTTATCAGCTCCGACGGGTTAGCTTGGAACAGACCGATCCCAAAAATCCAGCATACCGCCGAGTCGCACCTGAAACTGCCAAGTTCAGAAGAGATCTAGAACAAAATACTCTGCGTTTTTCATTCCAAGATGGCCGCATAGATACCCTCTGCCCAACTGAGAATGAGCCTGCGTGGGTGCTTAACATCAAGAGAGGGGTGCTCTCTATGATCCAGAATTCTATGAATGATCTCTACACCAATGAGAACACCACAGAGGTAGAGTATTTAATGATCTTTTGGACCGAAGTTCTGTATGATAAATATTTAATGATCTTCTGCACCGAAGTTCTGTATAATAAGTATCTAATGATCTTCTGCACCGAAGTTCTGTATAATAAGTATCTAATGATCTTCTTATACTGAACATTAATAAATTGGGGCCCTGACATGTCCTGGCCTGGTTAGAGTACTCGATTTACAATCTGCAGGCCGTGGCTTCGAATCTCGTCACTAAACATGTTTAACCTTTCAGTTGTAGGGCGTTGTAATATGACTGTCGTTCCCACTATTCGTTGGTAAAGTGTAGCCCAAGAGTTGGCGGTGGGTGGTTTTTGACTAACTGCTTTTCCTTCTAATCTATTACTTATAAATTAGGGCCGGCTAGCATAAATAGCCCTCTAGTAGCTTTGCGTAAAATTCCACAAAACACAATACTAAGTTGGCGATTTTTTGACATGATTTTATATGGTGTTGAGATCTTGGATAATGAAAACAACAGAATTTTATAGCTTTTTACATTCTTATTGCATCTATATTTATACTAAATACCAATGTTCATAAAAGAAGGAAACAAATTATTTACTCTGTCTTTCAGAGATTTCTACTTTTAGGCCCAAAAATTGTTTTATTCTATGAAGTAAAAACTTTGTATTAAAATGTCAGGGAGAACTTTTGCTTAATTTTGTGAATTATCTTTTTTCACATTTTCTGCAGTGTAAGGCTTAATCTCTTTGTCAAAATTACAATAACGTATATTACTGACGACGTATATATCTCTCTGTAAAAAGAAAGTTTAGAAATAATAATCCATTTTAAGTACATTACCTTTTACTTTAATCATTTTTAGGTAGTGAAATAAAGAACATATTTAGATTTACTCGATGATAATCATTCTCTTAATTTGGATTTGTTTCTCAAAACATATCACAGATAATTATAAGTTAAACTGAAAAAGAATTAGGGTGGCCTTTTAAAAATATTGATCGTACGAAAGGGGTTTTTTAAATAGCTGAAATTTTTACTGGAGTAATCTATGATTGTTTATTTAAGGGTGAAAAACTTATACTAAAACACATTATAAAAGAAAGAAAGAAAAATAAACACATTTTGGTTTTCTGGTATAGACCGATGTGGCAGGAAAGTGCAGTGTGGAATATATGTTTACCGGCCGTGGATGGTCGACAGTCAACGTAAAGAAATACAAGAACTTGGCTACTTGTAGTAGCCGTGGAAACAGTGAGAGCACGGTGCAGACCACTCCTTTCAGTGCAGATATGGTATGTTTTCCCAGATTCTCTCGTTATAAATGTTTCTATTTAAAGCAATTGATGGATTTATAGTATCATAAACCATACCTGGTTCTAGCGATGAAGGAAAACAAACGTGTAGTATTGTTTTTGAGTAATGTATTATATAACAGAAAATACTTATCTACATGTATATTACATGTTGTTAGAGTATATAAAATACAATACAAAATGTAAAAGTATATGAAAGACAAACATGTTGTTGAAGTATATTATATATATAATATATTGTATGTCCTTTTCTCCTGTAACCGAATTTTTATACCAATATTTATTAAGAGTAAACTTCATTTGGAAAAACTTTACAAGTCCATAGGAAGCATTAAATTTACAGCTATAGCTAAATGTGAATCTTACCATAATGATAGTGAACAGTGATAAGTATATACATATGTATATATATATTGAATATAGCCAGGAAAATCGCTTCCTTTACTGAGAGGTACTCAGGAATGTGAACAATCCTTCCGTAACAATAGAGTGGACTCTGTGAAATGCACAGAGGCACACGTCTTCAAGCCTTTCTCCCGCCATGAAAAAGATGCTGTTACAAAATCCGTCCAGAAACTTACCTTCAACACAGAACGCCAGGGGTCCTTCACTGGCAATGGTAACATTTATATCTGACTCGTAAATTAATATATTAAACAACACAAATACCATACAGATATGTTTGAGGTTTAATTTTGCAGTCCAAATACTAGATTTTTCGATAACTACTCGCATTTTAAGTATTATTTTACTCAACCTTTTAAAACGAAACTTTTCACTTTAGTAGAAACTTTAAGTAGAAACATATATTTACTAAATTTTTGGCCATCACAAATCGGATCTAAAATTATTATTTTTGTATCTGCATTTCATGTAATTTACAATGTCTCATACACACACATATTTATATATATATTGTCGACCAGTGAGACGGCCATAAGTCTTCGGATTTACAACGCTAAAATCAAAGGTTCGATTCCTTTCGGTGGACACAGCAAATGGCTAATGTGACTTTGCTACAACAACACTAACACGCATTTAAATATTTAGAGCCTTTGTTAACTATATCATAGCAGATTGTAATTAATTTTATTGGACAAGAAAACTAAACAGTGTTATAAGTCTTATTTATCAGTAGTTATATAGAAATAACACTTAACCATTGGATTGTGATGTCCGGCAAGTCTGATCAACTTTATTCTTGTATATTTCTCAGACTACCGACCTACCCGTCATGACCTGTTATTCGACCACAGCTACACTGAGCCAACAAATCAGTTGAAAGAACGAGAAGCAGAACAAGTAATGGTAGAACTCTGTGAGGCAGCTACCAACGACATTCGTCCATCTGTTCCCGCCAAATTCTCTCGCTTGGTGTACAAACTCCGAGAACTTGATTACCAAACTCTTTATTCCATCTATAAGCGTGCTGACAGTATTTGTCGTGGGAACAAGAATGCAAGGTAACTTTTAAACATATTATTGGGCACAATGTCAATGAATGAAAAACAAATAAATTCGTTAAGGTATTCGTATGGTCAATAAACCATTGCTGAAATGTTAACAAAAGTTGCTAAACTAACTTTTTGTAGTGGTTGAGGTCCCGGTCAGGTAGTGACATAATAAGCACCGAGGATGGGCAAATCCCCAAGCAAGAAGTAGCTAAACACCACACTGAGAATATGGTAAACACATCAATTCTCAAGAACACCAATGTTGTAAATTAATTGGCGCTCAAATGAGACATGATCTATCGATAAAATATCCAATAAAAAGCAACTGTTTGGTCAATGACAAATATGTAGTGATTCAAAAATGTGATACGAATACCAAACTAATGCAACCTCGTTAGCAAGAATCAAAATGGTGAAACATTTAATGTTGTTTAAATAAATATTAAATAGTTTCTGTTCTAACATTTTTGTCTCGTAAATTGAAAAACTTGCTAATAACTTTGAATATGACATTTAGTTTGTTTCGTTTACGGGGGGAACTAACTTGAAACAAGGTTCATATTGTTAACAAACATTAAAATTACGTGTCATGAGATATCCATGGTTATTGGTTTCAAGATACAAAAACGTTTGTGTTTAGTGTAATGGAATCCATTTTGTAAGAAAGGTATTTTATAATAACCATATACAGCCCTAAACGTGAATAACAATGATATTTTACTGTATTATGAAAATTAAGTAGTGTACTTACTAGAAATAAATCTCGAATTTCTTGATCACCTGAAATTATTTCGTGTATTTTTTTTTACACAAATATTTATGATTTATCATTAGGCAGTTCGTTGTTGACGCTATCCCCGCGGTCGGTTCCACAGCATCAATTCGTTTGATCAAAGAACTCGTCACTAAGAAGGAGATTTCCGACTCCGAAGCTAATATGTGGCTATCTTCACTGACATTTGTACCAAAACCAACAGCAGAAATGATTGGAGAGCTCGTTGTAAGTTTCCCTTTTACACAACAACGAGAAAGTTAGATACAATATTTCATGTTTTTTTGTTTTTCCCGAGTGATAATTCCATCTTCCAATGACCTTTCGTATCTAAAGTCGCAAATAATGGACATAACTTAGTTGTTGTTTTTTTCGTTTGGCGCAGAGTAGATATTTATACTTACGACCTAAATCATTATTAAGACGCCGACGTTAGAGTCATGTCAGTTTTATATACAAATTGTACGACAAAATCATTATTAAGACGCCGACGTTAAAGTCATATCAGTTTTATATACAAATTGTACGACAAAATCATTATTAAGACGCCGACGTTAGAGTCATGTCAGTTTTATATACAAATTGTACGACAAAATCATTATTAAGACGCCGACGTTAAAGTCATGTCAGTTTTATATACAAATTGTACGACAAAATCATTATTAAGACGCCAACGTTAAAGTCATGTCAGTTTTATATACAAACTGTTAAAATCAGCAAACTAAATAGTAGTTATTACCATATAAAAGATAACACAAGCACTACCTAATAGTTGTTTCCCTTGCTCTTTTAGCATATAATGGATGGAAGTTATGGCCAAGCCATCCTGGGTGTTTCTTCTCTCGCTCACACTTTCTGTCGATCTCATGAAGACTGTGGCAGTGTGCCAGAAATGAAGCGCTTGGTGCGACGTCTAGTTGCCAATCTTGGAAATAAATGCCTTGCTCAAGATTCCAAAACGGTATGTTTAATTTTCATACAGACAGTGGTCAATACAGTATCATGATTTAGTATACAATTGAGAGCATCGAAACTGAATATATTTATCATTATGACTCTCACGCTTCAGAAAGAAAATGGCTAGATTTTAAATAATATATTTCTGAATAGTACAAACAAGTGTTTCATTGCTGGGAACAGAATAGCTCACGAGCTTCGCGTTTTGGACTCGTGGTCGGATGGTTGCGAGTTCGAGGCTGGCCGTGTCCTTGAATCAGACACTTTTCCTCACTTGTTTAAGTCAACCCACCTGTATAATGGATACCAGCTGTTATCTGGAGATTATCCTGCGATGGACTGGCACCCCGTTCAGGGGGAATGGGTCACCATTCTTATCCGCTTGTGCCATTTGGAACCGGGGTTCGAAATCACCGGCTCTATGGGCCTTGTAAAGATACGGCAAAGACTTAACTATACTATTTAACAAACAGAATAAAGTGAATTCTAGTCATTTTATTTGCTGATACATCGGTCCAAGTTGCTAAATATTTAAATGTTATTGAGTGCAGGTCCTGCTGTCCCTGAAAGCTATCGGAAATATTGGAGTGGATGAAGATGTGGTGGATATCCTTCATGACTGCTACTCTAATCCTCAACTGGACATTGAAACCAGACTTACTGCCATCCAGGCTTTCCGCCGTTTCTCGTGTAGCATCTCGGTAAGTTGTTACACTAGGGGTTTGTATGTTGTATATATATTTATTACTAGTGTTCCTGTACTACCTATTTCATTTCAGAGAAAACAGCCTTTATAATGATTCGAAAACTAAAAGATTATAACTTACATTGGAACTAGCATGCCTATTTTTATGTGTTTTTAATTTCAAAATCATCAGGTGTTTTGGAAACGTTTTATTAATAGCTTGACTTTATACGTCTACAAAAAATGTACAGAATTTATGCAAGCCACAAATTTTGAAAACCATATCAAAACACAGGGATAAATGAAGAAGGCAAAAATAACCAATAAACAAGTCTTAAATGCTCTCTTTTGTTCAATCTGAACTTATAAGAAAATATGTATTTTATTTTAAGACTTCAGAGTTGGTTTAACGTTTCTCTTTTAGCGAGAAAACCTTCTGAAAGTTTACACCAACTACAATGAAAATACTGAGCTTCGTATCGCTGCTTATATGAATGTCATGCGCTGTCCCAACTTACACGTCATCAACATCATTAAGGAGACGCTGGAGAAAGAAGTGGTTAACCAAGGTGAGTCCATTAAGTGATACAAACTAAAATATTAGGGATTTCCCCAAATAGTTATATGACTATTTTGACATTTATTAATGGTCATTTAGATGTATACTTAATATATGTTTTGTGTGTATTTTTTATAATGACCGAGGCTTGTGTTCACTTTGGTATTCTTTGAACATTCTAGTCGGTTCTTTCGTTTGGACACATCTGACCAGCATTCAAGAAACCTCCAACCCCATCAAACAGGACATCAAAGATATCCTCTTTAATGTTTACCTTATGAACAAATTCAACACAGATATCCGTAAATTCTCTCGCTACTTCGAGGGCTCTTTCTTCATGGATTCTATTAACAGTGGGGTTCACGTAGATGGTGACGTCATCTTCACCCCAGAGTCATACCTCCCCCGTTCAGGAATGTTGAACTTGACTGTTGACTTGTTTGGAAACAGCTTGAATCTCTTTGAGGTAACGCCAACATACCTAACTACCATAAAGATTTAATAATTTCAACCCAATATAATTTACTTTTTAACTTCAACCAAGTATAATTCATATAATAACTTTTATTTTTACCCATGCCATTGTTTGCGAATATAAAAAGTTGTTTAAGTACTTATAGAAAGCCAATGGTATCAAATGAAAGCCGATTGTGTGTGTGTGTACGTCATAATCAAATCGAGCGTCAATTTAAATAAAATATTATTTAACAACTTCTGTAAGGCTGAGTGTGACATAACTGTTAGCATGCCAAACAATGAATTTGTGGGTTCCTATTGGTGCAAAATCGGACTCTGCACTATTCGATTACAGTAGCCTAAGAGTAGACGGCGGGTGGTGTTGACTAACTGCCTTTACTTCAGTCTATGGACAACTGATGTAGATAATTGTTTTGTAGCTTTGTACGAATGTCCGAAACAAAGAAACCAAATAACGTCTGAACATAAACATTAAATGTATATACGAATAACTTCATTTTTAGTACAAGTAACTTAATGATCCTTACTTTACGTGAAGTAATGTCGACCTTTTTCAGTATTTTATGACGTAAAATGTTTAATTCACTATAATGTTTATTCTTTAAAATTCATCAAATGTTTCTTAAATAACAACCTTATTTTTCTTTAATTTGACCACATATTCCTTCTTACAATTTCAGATTGGTGGCCGCATGCAAGGTATGGAAGAATTGGTTGAACGATTCTTTGGCCCTGAGGGTTACTTCCCCCAGAAAACTGTGGACAAGATGCTGAAGAAAATCCGAGAAAAGAGGTCCATCAAAGACAACAAGATCGATGAACTGGAAGCTGTGGTAAGATTTATGATAGCTTATATATGTATAATGTACTGCTGTTGTTTTTGTAGAAATGACATGTATGTCATATACGGTAATTTTGAAACGACCTCATAAAGTATGTTGAATGTGTCGATAAAAACTCAGAGTGAGAATCTATTGAATTTATTTATACTAATCTGGATCTGAAACAACTTTAAATTGAAGCAATTATCATTATGGTGTGAAATATGAAGTTATGCTCGAAACTGTACACATGAAACAGTATTATGTCTAACTCCACAGAGCTACATAAATATGTATAATTTTGTTTAGGTTCTCTAACTTGATATAATTTCTTAAATAAAACTGAAAATTTGATAGCAACGATAGACCAATAGAAACTGATTTATGATTTTATAATTATTCTTTATACTAAACAATACCATGAATTTTAACCTTCCGAACCACAGTTTGAAGTTCTCTGTGATGGAAATGCGTAAAGAGATTGAACACTTATTGCTTCACTTTACAGAATGGAAACTGAGTGTTCTTGCAAAAAACAAAGTGCAAAATCATTTGCTGTTTATTTTTCTTCAGTACAATGCCAATTCACAATTTCCCAAAGACGTTTCTGGCTCTATCTACATGAAAATGTTTGGAAACGAGCTGTTTTATTCTCGTTTGGAAGAACTAGGAACTGCATCCCAAACAGAGAGTCTACTGGACATGGTTATGAAGCTTGCCAAAGAGCAAGACGTCGAGTTTACCAAGAGCTTCATGTTCTTAGACACAACTTACACCATCCCAACCAGCAGTGGTCTACCTCTTCGGTTGGCTGTCAACGGAACTGCCACAGTTGGACTCAAAATGGGTGGCAGGTTTGATGTCCGTTCGTTTAGGCTTGTGGACGTACGCGGTCATCTTCAGCCAAGGTACGCTTGATTTTAAGAATGGTCAGAAAGTATAGTGTGATGTAGCCAGTAACTTTCTATTTTATATTGACCCATAATTAATGCTAATCAGGCTTGAAGGTTAAAACTATTTTTTTTATTGGGGTTACATTTTAACTCAGTCTCTTACCTGTAAGTATGAAACTATGTGAAGAAGGATGTTCTCAGACTTGCGGATTAAAAATGAACCTCTTTGAATGCTTGACCTTAAAACAAACGATAGGTTTTTACTCTAGCGGAATCATTGGAAAATACAATTTCAAAAAACAGTTTATTTTCTTAGGTTAACCAATAATATTAATTTTAATCCTCGGATGTTCGTTCTTAAGTTCACTGTGATAAAACATATAAAGGAAATGAACATTTAATGATTTGCTTATTATGAACACGAGACACACAACTGTTTACTCAGCTTGTACACAAATACGTTTTTTTTTTTTTAAATTTACAGTGGTGCTGTCGAACTCTCCACTTTGATGACAGTCGATGCTAATGTAGCTCAGTCGGGTCTTAAGGTGGCCGCTGTACTTCATTCTTCCACAGTTATGGATGGTTTGGTAGAGGTCAAAGATGGCAAGGTACTCCGCGTACAGGTGAACGTGCCTCGTGACAACATCGAGATTGTAGATATCCAGTAAGTACAAAAAAATTGTTCAAAATCTGCGTCAAAATTTGTTTTAGTCTCTCATTGTTGTCTGAGGAGAACAAAGCAAACAAATATATATATATTCTAAAACTTATAGTGTGTAAAGGGAGGAGTTAATGCTTAAAAAACATTTTAGATAGCTTTAAAATTATAGAGTATTTAATGTTTAATACTACCATCCAATCAGGCCCAGAGTACTTAGTTTATATAGATTATCAGATTGAGGGAAAACTTTTGTTTTAGATGAATGAAAATTGATTATGCGTTCTATGATTTTCGGTTATTCTTCTTCCCAAATATATAAAGTGATAAAAGACGCAAAACATTCATTCTACACACTTGAAAATTTTTTGCCAGGAGCAAGATTTACTTGGTCCATGGCGATGAAGAACAAGAAGCAAGAGGGAAGCAAGAAAATCGAGTCGAAGTCAGCAAGTGTACCAGTAAATATCTTGGCCGAATGCTTGGAATGGAATTGTGTGGGGAGATGAGTTTTCCTGTTCCACGTGGGAGAAGGAATGACGCTCCACTGTTTCCTTTCAGCGGACCAGCCTCCATTAAACTGTCTCTTCGCAAGGCTGACCCTACTCTAACAAGCTACAACTTCGAAGCAAGTCTAAGAAACGATCAGGTGATTTCATTCCCTTGTCAGCATATCCAAACTTATTGTTATTGTAATTTAATTTTTAAAAGTCGTATTTATTTATTCAGTAACAAAATAATATTGAAATGTGATTACTTAATGCATTTCATAATTTTTATTGTGGCCACGTCTTTAACCAAATGTAACCTTATGAAATAATTTAACAGGTAATTAATTCTTTATTGATTATTATATGGTGAGTTACTGAAACTGTGTTCTTTACAAATATTCGGAATAAGTATTTGTTTACACTTTTGTGTACAAAAAGATGCAGGTTAAATTAAACCTAAATGCGAAATTTGACATATCTTTATTTGCTCATAGGTGGGCAGGGATGAATACATTCGCCGAGCCGTTATGTCTTTCAACACACCTCAGTCTTCTATTGATCGCGAAATGACCATTGACGTACAACTCAATCAACAAGAAAAGTCTTTTGACTTTAAACTAAGAAGTCCCTTCAAAAAATTTGGAGTAAATGGTAGGAAATTATAATGATCAATACATGCTTTTAGAATTTGGCTTTAGTTAAGATTTAAATTTCTGCATGTTTTTTGTAAGAGGATCCAAAAAGACTGGACAAAACTCTAGCGCTCTCGACAGGTGAACCCGTCTCCCTCAGGAGCACAAGGAAAATCTTTTTTTTTTCCTTTTCAGTTCGTCAGGAAGACAGCTCCACCTGTCTAAGAGTAACTTTTTAAAGATTTAATCTTTCTTATCTTTTTTATTTGTGTTCCATCTACCTTCTACTATAAACAAAAAGCTATCTTTAAAAAAATGTTTTTTAATGTACAGGATGTTCGAAAACAACAATAACAAATTCAGTTACACAAGTAAATAATTTTCTTAACATAACTTCTAAAGAATATTGATAATATTTTTTACATATTTAAACCAATTTTCAGAATAATCTCGAAACATCCATATCATTAAAAACTGTGGGAAGAAAAGCTATTTATAATGTGGCCAGAAAGTTTTTATTAATTTGATTTTATATTCCAGCTAAATACAACATTGATAAAACCGAAAAGAAAATTGACATCCGGCTCACCATGGATGACAAAGAACAACTTACGGTTGTAACCAGTATAAGCGCTGACAGAAGTAGCACATCCTTACGGCTTACACCCTATCTTGAGGTTAGAATTCCTAGCCGACGACTTGTGTACACCAAGGGTTATGTTGCTATGGTTTACGGTAAAAAATACAGTGGACAACTTACCATCCAAGATCTTACCGAAAAACCGATTGTAATGAAAGGTAATGTAATAAATATAGCCTATAACTATTCTATATAAATTATATTGATGAAGTCTGTTATCTAAATAATTTAAAATATATCTCCACTTAAACCTTATGATATTGAAATATTTTTAACAAGACTAAGAAAAAAATATGTAGCTTCGTTAGAAATGAGAATGAAATACAGAAACTGTGAGATATTTATAATCGTATATAGCACAAAAACGTTCTCTCTATATCAAATAACTAGCTAATCAAATACGCTGTTCTAAGTATGACCTAAAGTGCAACCTCAAAGCCTCGTTAGCTGAATAAAGTTAACCTCTAGTTAGGATTCCACTGCAGGGTTACATGTATATTACGTGTAAAAATGTCTGAAAATGTTGTAGTTTAAAACAAAGCAAGTTATATATATCTTGATCTTACTGAGAGCTAGTTGTAATTTTTTCAGTCATTAATTTATAACACCTATTACTGTTCATGTTATTGAAAGAAAAGTTTTAACACTATATATCCAGAATTAAAAATAGTCTATTAGAGTAACAGATTATGAAAGATTCATTCAAAAAACATGCACTGTTTGAAATTAATGAAAAACATATTCACTTATTCTTACTTAAACAAAACACTGATCACCAGATGTCTTTCCAATGAAGCAGTGTTATTCAATTATCTATAATTATGTAATTAAATATGTTTATTAACCCATATGGGTATCGTTATGAGTCTTGTTTGTAAAACATTATGACGTTTTTATAGGAGATTTAGACATCAAGGACCGTGATAGCTACGAAGGAGAAATTGGTATCAGTTCCTACTTTCTAGATACAACTGTTAAAGGAAATATGAACATCGGATCATCAGTATTCACCAAATTGGCCGTAGAATACCAAATTTTGGATGGACAGCGTGAGAACTTTGATATCACAGGCAAGTTCCGTGACTTTTCAGCAAACTCTCTCACTAAATACACTGGTGCTATCACGTTGCAAAGTACTGCCAGGCCAGAATACGCCACTGCGGTAAACTGGGAAATGCAAAGTACTGACGGTCACCTGGAAAATCTCTTCGATGTATCCTTTGGTGATGGACGCCGAATAGAAGTTCACAAAATAAAAATCCAGGAAATTCTGCGCTACGAAGGGTCATTGGCCGATAACAGAATTGCAGCTACTTTGAAATTCCAGTATCCTCAACGTGATATCGATTATGTTCTACGCTTAAAGCACAGAAATGATGCCAATTCCCTGTCCAATACCCTTAATATCAAATACAGTGGAAGGAGAGAAATTACGTCTGCTATAGAACTGAGCAAAGATAACACCCGTTTCCTTCAACTAAAAGCGGATGCCCAACTTCAGTATCCCGGTAGAGAGATGAGGTTAACTGGAGAAGTTTCCGAAAACAACCGTAATGATTACCACGTCTCCATCAATGGACAGTGGCAAAAGGCACAGGTGAAAATGACGGCCAGTTACAAGAACAAAAGTGACCGATACCAGCTAAGGCATGAAGGTGATGTTGAAATTATACTTCCACGCACAAGTCCCATCAATATTGCTGGTTACCTTCGTGCTGGACCAGGACAATATGCAGTTACAACTAATATGGAAGTAGCTAGAAAAAAATTTAGTCTACAAGGTGATTATTCAACAACTTCTGTTTGGAACCATAGGATTTCTGGTATGTTAATTTTCCCTGGTAATTCTTATTCTACTGTTGCTGCTCTTGAAGGTAGCCGCAATGGTATGAAAGCCAGTTTTGACACCAACCTTGAAGGTATCCGCCATATCACTGGGACTGTAGACCTTACAAGCACCAAGGTCATGAAAACTGGTTCTCTGGACTTGAAATGGGATGCTGACCGTAACCAGGACAAACGAATAACCGTTGACACTGAATATCAAAATATGGCTACTGGACAAACAGGCACTATCACTGTTAAAGTTTTCAAACGTACAGTGAAGGCTTCTTTTAACAATGAGATTGATAACCGCTTCACAAAGGGAATCTTCAAACTAAACACCCGTGGTGAATTGGAGTGGGAGCCCTATAAAAAGGTCACCATGGAGGTTAAATCTGACAATTACATCTCATCAAATAAACGCAAAATTCGAACTGATATCACTGTTACAACTCCTTTTGATGGATTTCAAAGCAATATTGTTCATCTAAGCCATAGTGATGATAGCCAAGAATGGAAAAATGCTTTTGCTGTAGAACAAAATTCTAGAAAAACCACACTAACGTCTGAAGGACGATATTACAACAATCGAGCTAGTTGTTTCTTACAAAGTACTGTCAAATTTTACAATCCAAACCAGGAACGAATACAAATGGACATCTATCATGAGATGAGCACTTCTGATATGTCTAATAAGTTGGAATTCCAATGGGGATATGCTAGAAAAATCAGTGCTGGAATGCATGGGTCTCTTATTGGTTCAGGTATTCGTGGAGGGGTCAACTTTACCAGCCCATTTGAAACATTCAGAGACCTTTCTGCTTCTATTTTACATACTCAAGATCAGCATCATGTGAAGTCACAGGTAGAGATACAGTGGGATGTGCAAAAGAAAATATCAATTGATTTTGATGGGAAACATTCTCTTACAAACAATAAACGTACCTGCTCAATCAAAACTGAAGCAAAAACACCATTTACTGGTTTTGAATCTGCTTTGACCAACATTGTCTACACCAATGATGGTAGGAATGTTAATGTAGATACGGAAATGAACTGGAATTATAAGCGAGTATTGTTTGGTATACAGGGATCCAATAAAAACACTTATTATAATACAAATGTCAATGGAAAAGTTTACTTTACAAGTCCTTTCCGTGGGTATGAAAACATTGAGTGCAGTGGTTTGTATGAAACTTACAGAAATGCATTTAAAACAAACATTGAAGCAATTCTTCCAGGTAGACAAAAAGTGTCTGTTGCCAGTGAAGGGACATTTAGATCAATATCTGATGCAACCATCAAGCTTCTTGCCACTACACCCATTCATAACTTGGAGCGTATTTCTTTTGACTTTTCCCACAGGTTTAGTGACAACTTGAAAACTGTTGGAGAATTAACTTATGGAACCCGCAAGATAACAATGGACCTTAGTGGAACTCATTCAATCAGTTATGGTGAACAACGTTTGAATGGTGCCCTTGTATTCACCACTCCATTTGTTGGACTTGAAGAAGCAAAAATAACTATTGCCCATGATAACAATCAACAGGATAGATTTAACAGTCGTCTGGAGGCTTCTTATAATAGAAACTCTTTTCAAGTTGTGCATAAATTTACTCTTCAGGACTTTTTAAACTTCCAATCTGAAATGGAAATCTTTACTCCATTTGAGAATTTCAGATCTGCTAAAACATTGACCAAACAATCTTTTAATTCCAATGCATTTAAACATAACTCAAACTTTATTCTCAATAGACAAGCTCCAGTTGACATCTTGGTGGAATTTCTAAATGACCACGAGAGGAAAGGGCAGAATATTGAAGCTCGTTTGAAACTTTTAACTCCATCAGATACATTCAAATCTCTGCTAATCGAAGCTACCTATGAAGACAATAGCCGTGAATACAAGCCAAGGCTTGAAATCCAGTGGAATGACTCTAAGAAAATTACTCTGGATGGACATCTGACAAATGATAGAATGCAGAAAGTTGAAGGAAGTATTATCTACACTAGTCCTTTTTATGGATATGAGGAGATTACTCTTTCAGGAATGTATGACCTTACAAGCAGAAAGAAGACTGGTGAGCTCTCTCTTGATTATGCCCCCCAAAAAAATGGTAAGCTGTTACTTAGTGGATTTTTATTTGCAGACAGAGGAAGAGGAGAAGCTGAGCTGATTTTCAGAAGTCCAATTCGTAACTATGAAGAACTAATTGCTTATGGAAAGTATACTTCTGGCCGCAATGAGAAAAGTGGAGAAATTTCCTTCCAGTGGCCTAAAGATCTAAAAACGAGAGTTTATGCAGAATATAGTCATGAAAGAAATGGCATTGAGTCTTCCGTTTCTTTTAATAGTCCATTTCAAGGGTATGAGACATTCCAAGCTGAAGCTAAAGCTAATATAGACCAAAATAAGAAAATGTTTCAGAGCACGCTGACATGGGGAGCTGGAAAGAAAATTGACTTTTCTTCTGAATATGAAATCACGGGTAATCTGTTTACCACTGCTTTGATACTTCGTACCCCATTCCAAGGGTATGAGGACATGGCTGTGAATGGACGCATCCAGGAAAATTATTATGGATATGAAGGACTTCTTACTACAACCTGGGCACCTACAAAACAAATAAGCATCATAGGCAAGGTTAAACATAATGGTTTCATTCCTAATGAAATCATTGTTAACATCAAAACCCCATTCTCCTCTTACAATAACATAAAATTTTCATCCACTATGAAGAATTTGGGCAGGAGTCTTTCATTGAATTCTAATTTTAACTGGAATAGTGAAAAATATGACATGAATATTCTTTTTGATAGAATTGGAAGACAGGCTCTGGAAGTGAAGTTTAATTTAAATACTCCAAATCCTGACCATAAAATAAGTATTGAAGGACGTTTTAATGGAAATAATGCTCAGAAAATAGAAGGCAGCATCAAATTTACAACTCCCTTTGAGACAATTAGCCCAGTAGATATAAGTGGAAGCCTGTATGATTCTGGAGAAGGAAAAAAATTGTCTGTTAATGGAAACAGTAAGAACAATCGATTTTCCATCACTGGAGAACTAAATAATAACAGAAACCGTCGCATTACAGGTAAATTGACACTAGACTTACCATTTTTATATTCTTCAAACATTGATATGGGTTTTGATATCAAGAGCGACTGGAATAGCCAATTTGAAGCCTCAGCCAAGATAACAGCAGGATCATCAGTGCATGGAATAAGAGTATTATTAAAGAATTCCAACGTTATTAGGGAGTTGGTATTTGAAATTGAATCTTCTCTGCTGTTTGCCAATAAAGTAACACTGGAATTAGAGCTTACATCTAACCCTAATGCCTACAACACAGCTTTAAAATTGTATACACCTTACGTTAGTCACCGTTTTACTGGAAGCTTGCAAAAGATTCAACAGAGTTACAGTGTTGAGGGACATTTTGAAAGTCCAATTGTTAAAAATGGACCTTTCAGCTTTGATGCTACCTATTCAAGTGAAGGATATGAAGAGATAAAACTAGATATCAACTTGGGTACCAAATTTGATAAGCATAGTTTGAAGGTGGTGTATGGTTATGGCAGAGATATAGTTGTGCTTTCTGGAAAAGTCGAGAGCAGCCTATTGGTAGGACGTTCAGCTGAATTTGAAGGAAAGTACATTAACAGTAATGATCGTGAGTTAGAAACCTTGCTGAAATTGACTACTTCTTATTCTTCTCACACTGCTTCAGGAACCCTAAAGCTGTATGATACAGAAATTGAGAGCATAGTAAGAATAGAAACACCATTTTTCAATCCCAAGTCTCTAACAATCACCAGCAAGTTTCTAAATAAAAACTATGAAGTTATGGAAGGCAATTTTCTGATTAAGACTCCTGCAAGTGAAATGCGTGTGGCTGGAAACATACGTAACAGTGGCTGGAAGGGAATTGAGGCTTTTTTCACAATCAACACTCCATTTGAGATCTTGAAAATGGCAAGAGCTGATATAAAATTTCTTAATGAAAACTTTAAGAACATAGAGGGGTCTTTTATTGCCCAGACTTCCACCTATACCTTCCCCAAGATATCAATTTCTGGCAAAATTCGCCATAACACCGGTATGTATGATGTTTCCATCAACACCAAGCTTCCTTTCCGAAGATATAGCAACATTAATCTTTTGGCCACTCTACATCACAACAATGACATGACCTTTGTTAATCCCAGGGTTACTTTTACTCTTCAACAAAACCAATATACAGTCTACTCCAACTATAGGTATTTTGGTCAGAACCTAGTAGCAACTGTAGGTTATGAACTGAATGAGAAGCCTCAGATAGAGTTTTCAACCACAGTCAAGTTCACCCCTGATAGCTGGAATAGTGAGATTACCGTTAAGACTCCTTTCCGTGGCTATGAGAACTACAATTTGGGCATAAACTATGCAATTGAACAAGAACTCTATAATATTCGTGTTATTTTTAAGGACTCTGTGTACAGGACATCAGTTGCCAACATGTCTTTCCGTTACAGTGATTCTACCAATATGGTAGGAGATATTACCATTACTACACCATTCCGTGGATGGGAGAACATTGCAACAAACTTTATTCTGCAAGGCACTTCTAAAAGGTTTCTCAGCAATTTCCAGCACAGTTGGGGAAACAACCAGAAAATTGTTTTTAACTTTGAGAACAAAATTAACAATAAAGGGTACTCAGGAGAGCTTAAGATCATTTCTCCTTTACAAATACTCAAAAACACCAACGTTGAATACAAAGTTCTTAACAACGATAACATGAAGAGTGAGGTAGAAATTACTTATAACAGTCGTAAAGTCTTCAATGTAGAGACATCATCTGTGTACGAATCTCAGGGTTACCACAGAAGTATGAATGTACAGCTCCCATTAGCTGGCGTTGGTTTTGCTTTTGATGCCAAGTCTCAAGAAGCTGGAATAGAAATGAAAGTTGAGACTAACATCCCGTCTAGAAAAATGGTTTTTCATACTATCTACCAAAGTACCTGGTCGCACTTTAGTCATGCCACTGAATTCACTTGGGATGTAGAAGCTCGTCGCACCATCTCTTACGAAGCCAGGCTAGTAGAATCATCCAAACGAGGTATAGACATCTTTGGTAAATTGAATCTTCCCAGTCGTACCTTTGAGCTTAAAGGAGAAACTGAACCTCTTCAAAATGGTAAAAATATCAACATAGAGTTTTCGTGGGATGCAGCTAGAGACATAAACAAGCGATTGGGTCTTGGCTTCGAGTATGAAGATAAAAGTGGAAGAACTGTAACAGCCTACAAAGTTCAGATGACCATGAAACACCCTCGTCTGTCTAAGGTTAGTGAGTAGAACTGAGTCTAGTAGATGACATATCTTGAGGCATAAAAGTAATTTTAGTTTGTTTAAAACATTATTTAAAAATATATACTGATTAATGGTTCTGAGTCGTATTGTAAGTAATCTATTCAATTACATATTATAATAATTTTATTTTTAAAAAGCTAGCTTACTGTATTCGGAATCTTTTGTCTTTTCTTTAATTTCATTCTGATATAATTATCGGTTTTCAGGAGTTTCAGGAAAGCCGAAAAACGCTTTTTATTAATTTCCTATAATTTTATTAGATTAACCAGATTAATGCCCCGTATGTCTTAGTAATTTCTTTACCTTTATCTCGGTACATCAAGATATTTCTCAATGCACATTTCTTACTTTTTATTACTCAAGGATCTCGTCGTTCTTGGAGATATCTCGGTTTCTTCATCTGCGTTGTATGCCAAAGCGGAAGTAGACTACTCTAGATATCACCAGAATAAGATAGTTGCAGAGGTCAGAGGTAAGAATATCCAGAGCTGGGGAGAGTCTAAGTATACCATTGAAGCCAATGCCAGACATCCAGTCACCAACATTGACATCTCAATAAATGGTCAGCTCGTAAACAATAATGATGAATACGTTTTCGACATGAAGTTTGACTACCTTGATCGCAACAGAATGAAACGCGTCCAAGAACTGAAGACAAAAATAATGAAGCTGCGCCAGGAAATCCACTTTGAGGTTAGAATAAAATGATGCTATACTTAATGCAGTGTCAGTAAATCTGATGTAACCATTCGGTTACGTCAGATATTACTATAGATAGGTCAAACAACAAATCAGTATTATGTTGAAATCTTTGATGCTACAAAATCTTACGTTTCACAAATAGTGTTGTGTATGTAAGTATGATTGTAAACACCACAAAAAGCATTACTATATTTATGGAGATATTACTAAAATAACATACGCTTATGTTTGTGTGTAGTTGATGGCATGACATTTGCGTGTTACATGCTGTAATATACAACTGTATTCATCGGTGTGTGTTTTGTGTTTTCAGATGAAAGCCGGTGACAATCGGGTAAAAATGCTTGGTCGCATGTTTAACAGAGATCATGAGTTCACAGTTGCTTTAGAACAGCAGCTGAATAGCTACAGCCCTGTTCACTCTCACTTTCGGTTGAGCAAAAGACACATGAACATGGATCTGAACATCACTACGCCAGGTAGGCCATATTTTTTCGCTTCTGGTCGTGCATGACCTTGTAGTTAAACGTAGCGGACTGTGAATCTGCGGATCCAGAATTCGCGTCTCTTTACTACTTTATGTGCTCCACTCTATGGAGTCGAGGTTACGTTATAATAGTGACATTCAAATCCTACTAATCCATTAAATATTCCAAAAGTTAACGGTAGGTGCTATAGCCTATTCTCCTTTTCTCTAGTCTATCACTTCAAAATTAGGGACGGCTAGCGCAGATAGCCCGTGCGCGATTTTCCGGAATAAAGAGACAAAAATATATCTTTCGCCTGTGTTGGATAAAGTAAGACTGTAAAATCTACGAAATGTGAAAATATCCATAACTGTAGAATTACAGTTGCTAAACTGTAGGTTATGAAACTTGTTCTTAACCCGGTCTTCACCAGATAAAGTTTTATATTCTCATAGCTTGTGTTGGTGATTAGCTAATACGTTTGGTTTGGGGTTATTTTACTTCAGGAAGCTTTATGTCTATATATAACTCTTAAAGAGTTAGTTATTGAAAAATTAGAATTACCACAGTCCTTTTCACTCTCTCTCTACTAGTTCAAAGTGCATTAAATCTAGCATAAAATATCTAAAGTAACGAAACTTATTGTCAAATAAGTAATAAATACTGATTTTTCGTAACATAAAATAAGCCTAAATGTCTTTATTTAAAAATAGAAAACAACGGAATTCATATGAGAGCCGCCCTACCTGAGGATGCAGCTCATTTCCAGGTCAACCACATCAATCATGGCAAGTCTGTTTCTGACGTTCTGTTTGACTTTGGTTTAGAAGAGTCTAAGGTGCTTAGAAGCCGTATCACTTGGAGGCCAGAAATGATGGATGATGTTAAGGTTAGTTAGACTGAGAATCACTTTTGTTAACATATTAAGAAGAGATTAAATAAACAAGAATATTAATATTCTTCTCGTTCATACTTTCTGCGTTTTATCGTGAAGTTATAAAGCATTTTATATAAACTAATGAAGCATCTTTATTAAATATGTTAATTAAGTTTGATTATATGTTATTTCAAACTCACATTATTAAAATATATGCGAAAATACAGTTATAATAATAAGAGAATCTGTGTTCACTAGAGCCCGTTACATACTGTATGTTTGTTAAATATAGGAGGTAGTATCCACCAATTACGAACGTTTCAACGAGATGTATTCATCCACCATGAAAGATGTCTACGACGAGGTGTCTCAGGAATTCAACTCCAAAACATCTTTAGTGAAGAGGTCTGTGGCTCAGGAACTGAAACCTTTCTACAGGGAAATGCAACAAGATATTTCTAACTTACAGAATGAAATGAGACTAGTCAGTAAAGAGCTGTATAAAATGTACAGAAAGAATGAATTCTACATCAAAGATATCATCGATGGTATTGAAATAGTTACAGAGTCTGTTTGGTAAGCGTTTCGCTTATATTTCAAATACCACCAGATACAATAAAAATAGCCGAATATACAACCTTTTAAAGATACTAATATTTTTATTCTCTTAAATATTTTCACATGACACATTAGGCATGTTTGTTTGCAGTTTCCATTACCATGCTCACGTGATTTTAATTGTACTAACACGTAAAATCATGTGAGAGATAACATGTAGATTCTGATTGATTTATTAATTTGAATAGATAAGTAATTTGAGTCTTCCCAGTGGCTCAGTGACAAGTCTGAAGGCTAAAAACCGGGTTTCGATATCCGTTGTGGGCACAGATCGTTTATTGTGTAACTTTGTCTATAACAACAAACCAGCCAACTTTGACGTGCTTATATATATATATATATATGTGTGTTTGTGTTTTAAACTAATAAAGTATATATTTTTTTCATCTAACCAATCTAGCTCCGTCATCTCTAAAAGCGGTGAGATTTTGTACAACGGCATCGTAACGACTGGGCGTGTCTTCACGGACGTATTCCGTTACATTTCCGAAAAATCCAACTTAATTTTGGAAACCATTGTTGACATTTACGGACGTGCTTTCTACGGGGCAGTTCGTGTTATCAGGGATTTCAGCATTAATATCTATGAATGGACAAAACCAATCATCACCTATTTCACTGATTTCAGCCATCTGATCGTGCGAAACACTGAATGGCTCATCCACCGATACGCTCCATTTGTGGAAACATATTTTTCAAGACTTGTTACTTCATATGTTGAGATGATGGATATACTGAGAGGTGAGTGACAATACGCTTAGAATAAACTGTGACACAATATTACATTGTGAAGAGAATGTTTGATATGTTCATATTTCTTCATAAGCAAACTAATTCGAATGAAAATGTAATTTTTATGACTTAAGTCGTATATTTTAATTTTAAAAAACATTGCACGGTACTTTGGGCAAAAATTATTTAAAAAAGTAAAGAGTTATTTGCACATTCTTAACCTGAAAAAAGTAAACAGACAATAATGTAAGAATTCAGATCTTAATTACGTAGTAACTATGTATTTCAGATTATGCTGATTACCTGGCTGAGGAGGTTTACAGTCACCCTTACTATATTGCTCTGAATAACTACATCAACAGGGTTAAAGCCACTATAGTTGCTTTCCGTCGTAGTTACTACTCAAATATATACAATAACTTAAAACAAGGACTCAGCACGTCTGTATCGTCTCTCTCAAGTTACTATACCCACTTTCATCGTCACCCCCATGTAGAGTCAATTAAAGAATTTTCTAGAAGCACATACAACAAGGTATGATTTCTGGAAGTTATTAGCTAACTTTTTACTTTCTCGTATCTTTACAGTATTTTATTTCCAAGCTGACAGTCCAATTCTAACTCTATAAATTTCACTTACTGAAATAACAGTTTAACAACAGTAACTGCTGAATTACAGCTTTATTCTCCAATGTTTTTTTTATCCTTACACTGTAAATAATTCATTATTTCTTGCTTTTAGAAATAAACTTTATCAAAATAATAAAGTGAATAAATGCAATTTTTTGTACTTAGAATACAAATATAATGAGGTAGATTGAATCAAAATAACGTCACCCACTACTGATTTCTGTGTTTTTGTTTTCTCTGTAAAAAAAGTTATTATTGTCTCTCGTGTTTCCAAGTATCACGAATTAATAAAATGAGTTATATTAAATGTCATATTTTCGCATGTTCACAAGGGTAGGATCCTCTATTTCTATCACACATAAAAGGAAGCCGCAATATTTAATACAAAAATTTTGTTTTCCATAGGGAATCGAAGCTGCCAAGTATTTTGGACTTGACGATATGATCGACACCATCTACCATCAGTTGAAAGACAGTGCTTTGGAATCAGTCAAAGAACTCGTACAGGATTGGTCCAGTATGGTTGCAGGTTTCAGCTATACCTTCAAACCAGAACGAGGTCAAATGGGATTCGACATTATACTACCAGCCACTCATAAAAACCTTCGAGACGTACTGGATATCACCAGCTACCCCATCTATCAGCACCTTCAGGATCTCAAGTATAAACTGATCAGTGGAGATTTCTATGTGTGGGATAGATATTACACCATCATACGATTCCTGAACCCCAAGAACTGGATCCCTCCATTCACAGGTATGTAGAGTTTTAGTTTTGCCACTGCTAAATATAATGGGTGTTTAAATCACCAATCAAGAAAAATTTTAAATCTTTTTTTTTAGAATAATAAAAAATAATGTTGCTGCATAAATATGCTTTTGTTAATTAAACCTACAAAACTGTGGTTTAAATTTATATCGTTTTATAGCTCACGCCATGATTGTTGGAAACGACCACTACATCACCTTCGACAAGTTCCACTTCGATTTTGCTGGGGAATGTAGTTACCTATTAGCAAGAGATTTTACTGATGGAAATTTCACCGTGGCCATCACATACACCCGTGACAACTACAGGGTCGTTAAGAAGTCTCTAACAGTAATAACAGATGATGCTAAGATTGAGATCAGCCCAGACTACAAAGTAACTGTATCTGACACCAAGGTAGAACTACCTGTGGAAATTGGCGAGATTGTCGCTAAGAGAGAGGAAAACACCGTGCATATCCATTATGCTCGTGGCATCGACGTTCGTTGCAATTTCATCCATGACATTTGTACTCTTGAGATGTCAGGTTTCTACTTTGGTAAAACCGCTGGCCTCTTTGGTACCTATGACAACGAACCTCAACTGGACATGATGACTCCTGAAAGAAAACTGGTCGACCAACCTGAAAGGTTTGCAAACAGCTGGCAGATTGGGTCTGCTGTCTGTCGTCCTGCCTCTCCTAAAAGAGCAAACGTGATCACTGAAGAAGCTAAAGAAAGGTGCAATGAGATCTTCCACGACAGTAGCTCTAACCTCAGACCTTGCTTCCAACAGGTTAGTAATCGTTTATGTTTCAATGTTTATAAACTAGTTTTTTAATCTGCACTGACGTTTAGGTATTTTAAGTATCTCACGCCTATTTGCATCAATTTTACTTTAAGTAGGTTATATCAAAGGTTGTATTTTGTGATTTCAGGCGGAAAATATTTTAAACGTTTCTGCCTTTTTATTTTAACAGGTTAATCCAGAACCATATTTTGACATGTGCGTCAGAGATCTCTCAGAAGTTGACATCCATCGAAAATCGGACTCCATTTGTAAATCTTCTGCAGCTTATAGGACTCATTGTAATTTTGCTGGCGTGAAAGTAAAAATGCCCAAATCTTGTGGTATGTATTAAAGCATGCAGTTAAATAATACAATAGTCAATGATATATTTAGAGAACATAATTCTTTCACCTGAGAAATATTATTTTTTATTACTTGAAATGAACAATTACTGGTAATAAGGGTACACTTTATACTCGTTGGTTTCTATAACTTTTATCAACCTTCATAAACAAAGTAATTGATAACGTTTTAGCTGTTTCCATAAGAAACGTGGAGTCCAGAAATTCTGACAAAAATAATTGTATAATGATCACTTTGACATGAATCTGGGTACGATTAACTTTTCAGTACGATGTGAAAGTTATGATGGTACCGTCCTACTGGAGGGAGAAACGTCTGTGATCAAGAAAGTGCCTACCAAAGTAGCAGATGTTGTGTTCATCGTAGAGGAGAAAGCATGCAACAAAGATGTGATGCCAATGCTTGGTAAGATGGCTCGAGGGGTGGACAGCAGTTACCGACAGAAGGGTTACAGTGACGTACGCTACGCTGTTGTTGGGTTTGGAGGTGACGGAGTTCATGGTCCCCCCCATATCCACACTAGTGATGGTCAAGTATTTGCCAGCATCCGGTCTATCGACTCAGCACTAAGTAGTCTAACCATCGGCGACGGCCCAAGTAACATCTTCCACGCCATCCGTTTTGCTGCTCGTCTTCCGTTCCATGCTGGAGTCACCAAGACTTTTGTTCTTGCCAAATGCACTACTTGTGAAGCTGAAGACATGAAGGTTAGAATAAGCTATATATTTTGTAGATAGCGTACAATTTAAATTTTAATATTCTTAGACTTTCTAATTTTGATATTAATTTAACATTCTTATGTGATGTAAAAGCATGTATTTGCAAATCTGGATTTAAATAAATAAGAATAATTTACCATCAGTGTTCTAAGATATCAAGGTCGAAACTTTGTACTCAACTTTTATTGTAATAATGTTTTTAGTTTGATCTAGTTTCGCATAAAATTGCATCACCTATATCGTTTTTGAAACTTACACACAAACAGAAATTTTATATTTTGGTCATTTACTGTTTCAACACTTTTTATAGGCTGATTACAGTGAAATCCTGCAGACTTTATTGGACAGTGAGATCACCCTCCACATACTGATGGACCATGAATTCGAGATGAAATCAGCTTCTAAATCGAAGAAAGCAAAACGGTTGCTAGGTTAGTTTTGCATTTCACTAAAACCTTACATAATTTCTTCTACACGTCCCTAGTTGTCTATATGCCTTATTCAGAAGGAATGTATATGCACAAACAGATTTCAATATTTACATTAATTCCCAAGGCCTATAAACAACAGTGTGCATAAAAGCCTTATGCAATTTCTAAATTGCAAACGTGCACTAATTTTAATACTGTATATGGAAAAATAATTATGATTTCTGCAAGAGTGCCTAGTAATAACGGTAGACTTGTAATATCACACAATCAACTCCTATCATTTTTTTATTCTAATTTAAATACTAAAATGTCAATTATTTAGGGTTGGACATCAATTATGCCTACTCACTAAAAGATGCCAAAGACAAGAACTTGAAGGGAGATAAAGCTATCCGTTCACAAGTGAAGATTCCCAAAGATCATTGCGTTCCGTTAGCTCTGGAATCAAGGGGGTCATTCTTCAGCACAGAAAAGCTGACAAACAACGCGAAAAAGGCAAAGAAATTCATCGATGTCATAACCCGTCGTATGGCTGTGACTGCAGAACAGTCAGAGTGTCAAACTTGTGGATGCATTGCAACTGAAGATGGTGTAGGCAAGATGATGTGCCAAGCTTGTGTCTCCAATCCTGTAATAGTGAGGGATATTGTAAGTCCATTATTGAAATATCTAAACTTAGGAATAAAAATATATAAGGATAAAGAATTTTTATCAGATAATGAAACATTTATAAATTTTACAAAAATAACGAAATTGGCACGTTTTATTATGTATTTACAGTCTAGATCATAATTATAATGTAACTGCTACTGATGCAACATCTGAAACAAATTACATGCGATAAAAGAACCATTTGGTTTCCAAACAATCCTGCTTTGAAATTCTGGCATATCTTAATATTCTATTCGGTTATATAACAGCAAGGTAGTATTGTACTCCTCAACATAGCTGGAGAAAAATGCATACCTTCTTATTAAAGAACCAGTCAGTAATTGTTTTCTAGTGTGATATGCTTTGTTCAATCCACAGCTCACGAACTCCTTTAATATTTGACTATTCTCATGATTTAATGTTTACAGCCCATCTATAGTAACACGGAAGTTGGTGATAGTAGCAGTCAAGAGGTAGATGAAGACGATGATAACCAGAATGACGATTTTGAGGACTATATGGACCTACCTCTGCAGGTGAAGAAACGCAAGATGTGGAAGGAGTACTGAGCTTCTGAAGCATCAGAAAATCTTAGCTATTCCTATAAGTTGTGATTATAATGTCATTTAATCTTATGTTTAGTTCCAAGTAATGTAAGAATTTCATATGTAACCTACTCATCGTAGTGCAATGTTTGTTTCAATGATCATTATGATGAATAATGTAAAATCATATATCATAAACTAATTCAATAGCTTCACTATACTATGATGCCCAAACAATGCAAGTATCTATTATAATAATTATTTTCAACGTATTGTATCAATATTTTATGAAATGTGTTTGTAAAATTTGAAAATATATTGTGTAACTGGTATGTAATAAATCATACTCATTGTCTTTACAGCATGTATTTATAATCTGACAAGAAAAGCCAATAAAATAATTTACAAATTTATTTCACTGTCTAGAACATGTTTCTTACACTCTCTTGGATTTATCAAAATAAAGAAATGCAAAGAACAATACTTACCCCCCCCCCAAAAAACAACTAAATTCTAAATATCAGTATTTTTCTCCACATACAACTTCAAATCACTAACAAATTTTAAACATTTTCCCTGTGCTACACATTTGTAGGTATACCTTGCTTGTATGTTTGAAAATATAAAGAGATTGTAATATCCAGTTGCTCTAAATTTCCCTCACTGACTGACGAAAAATATATGGGAAAAAAAGCAAAGTTCTTTAGAAGTTATTCTTAAAGTAATCTAGAATTATACCATTCAACAGTCACTTTTAAAAGAGGTAACTTCATTCATTTAATCAACCAGTCCTTCTTGAACAATGAATCCTCACTCTTTAATTAAATAGTCATTCCTAGTAAAGCTAACCTCACACGTTATTTACCAGTTATTTTCTGTCAAGGTAACATAACTATGCTTAGATCGGGATTTATATTTTCCAAGACGGGAATATCTCTTGTACTTAATAACATAGGAAAACAAAGGAGTATGGATTAACCTGGGGCACCAGGATCATCCAGAAAGGGACCTGCATAAAGTCGTACCTAGAATTCGACCAGATCTGGTAACATGAACTGTAACGATATTGTGAGATTCCAAATCATTTTGTTATAACGTACTCATCCTCTTTGCATACGTTTTGAGGAAGTATTTCAAAACAGTGTTCATAATTCACAAGCATTTCAGTTGTAAATTTTTCTTATAAAATGTATTTTTGGATCAACAGGAGAAAATTTTCAAGATATTAAAAAATTGTTGATAAATTTGACATGATGCCAAAATCTTGCAGTCTAAAAATGTGTGATTTCAAACTTTCATGAGTACAAAGTACTGATAAAGAAAAAGTTATTTTATAGAATTTGAAATATTAAGTGGTAATACTTTTAAGAAGATATGTACAAGTAAGCTTAATTGTAGTTATATATATTTAGAAGAGTTACTGTCTTCTAAAAAATTATGTTCTTCAAATTTTATAGTAATCAAAATTATCTTAATGTTTTATGTTTTATTCTCACATACCACTTACACGACCTTCCATTTTCTTTACAAATTCACTCTTTTAAGGGTGTGGATTCTCACCTTCTCAAAAACAACGGTTGTGGCTGTTTGAATCCACCTCACTAGCACATTTTTTAGAGTATCTTAGTCTCGCTCCTCTAACGTTTAACTTCTCCAGTTTTTGGTGGTTTACACTAATCGACACATTGTTAAAATCAAAGGAATTATGCTTTCATTGAAGGATAGTGTAATAAAAATTAATATCAAATAAACGTTTCAATCAATATTCTTTCATTTGTGGAAAATAATTAATTGTTTGAAGAGTTGCGCCTTCCAGAATATCATCTAATTAGTCTGAAAAACTTTGCAATAATTCACCCCTGGCAACAAATGTATAACTTTTACAAAGTTTGCAGTTTAACTTGACCATTATAGTAATATTTCTTTCCCAGAATAAAATTAACTAAAAATTGCAATTGCAATGTGAGAAATCACTAACATCCCTTCATCGCAATGCAGTGTATGTCTTGCAGTTGTTATTTAATGTTTTAACCTGAAAAGCACCTTATATGACACATGGGTTAAATGGACAGGAAAGAGAGCCCAAGGTTTAGGCATAGCTGTTCCTAAGTTAGAACCAATGAATGGAGCGAGAGCAACAGTTAGCAACATTTTCTAGTTACATGGCTCAAGTGGTAAGATTGAATGTCACATTTATAAAGCTTCTGCAACTGAAAGTGCAGAATGTGTTAATGGCATATCAAGGCTCAAACATTGGACTTTCTGATCTGCAACTGGCAAACTAATCATTCTCACACCCTGCTCTTCAAAAACGTTATTTTATCTTCAGATGCTCTTATAGTTGGTATGTATTTTAGTCACTGCTAAATACTCTAAGTTCAGTATTTAAACGTTTTTACTATTATTTGTACTAATTAATAAGCTAGCACTTCAGATAAATACAAAGATGAAGCGTATGTTTTAGTGTGTGTGTGTGTAGGACATATCACTAATATTAAACGAAGTTTTGCTTAATTATAATTGTTGTAGCCTTTTTTTAAATCTAGACATTTCTAGAAATCTGTATTCTTGTTTAGGCGAAAAGAACGTAACATGATGGATGTACACTTAATATCTGGAGCGATCTCCAAAGTTTAGGAAAAATTTACGTAACAAAAAGGGATATCAACATTTGTAAATTGAATTGGAAAACACAAGGATCAAATTAGTCATACCTCCTTCTTCACCAGCTTAAGACTCTTGACCTCGAACACCATTAACTATGTAATATGGAATAAGATAACTCATCTAGTTTACCACCTCTTACCGCTACTATTGAGCTTACCACCTCAATTACAGAGGCCGTGTGACTAGAGCTGTAAAAGTCTTACATCTGATCAATACCACAGATTACTTGACGTACTCAAAGAATACAAAGATACCTTCTTCAGTGTATATCATGACTAAGACTGGACAAATAAAATATCTTACACGATTGGTACTGGAGATGAAGCTCTAATACATCAATTGACCATTTGCGAAATAAATTGGGGTTCTCAAAGAAATATAATCTACAAAAGCGAATTCTAGTTATTGAGCATTTCACTTGTGAAGAAGAAGGAGCCTAGGATTGGCTCTATTTTAAATGTCTTATCCAAGTCGGAATGGTTTTTCAACAATGTATCTGAAACATTGATACTGGCAAGTGAAAATTGATGAAGCAAGTTGAGTAAACTGCAGGAAGTGGGTCGGGACCATTTCTTGTGTTATCATTTGAAGTATGCACAATGTAGAACTTTGAAGTAAAAGGAATAAAACATTTTTGATATTTTTAAGTGGGCTGGACTTTTAATTTTTCTTTTTTTTTCTGAATAATCCAAAAGAATCTGCCCAACAATGAAAACCATTAAAAAACAATGTTCAATGACTGAGATTTGTGCGCGAATCCTAGAATTCTCTACCTTCATTCATCTACGAAGATCGCAGATGCAAATTCAAGATGCTTGCAACAGATAATAATTTAAGGGGTAAGACGCAAGAGTTTCAACTCACAAGATTCTGAATCTATCTACACGTTTATTGTCTGTGGCCAGTCGTGGGCTTGGTAGTTACCCCTTAATAATATCAATAGATTATAAAAGCCTATCTCCACTCTTTATTCAAAGCGATTGTGGCATCCCCCAAATTATAATGAAAAAAAAAACTTTCACCCACGTAAAACTGTTAAGAACTAAGAACTACTTAGGTCAAAATATTTTCTTACCCTAATACCACTCTTACATAGTGAAGAATGTTAAATGATACTGCAAATTTCGCAGATTAAGGTAAAAAATATATGTTTAGGGATATTAAATGAAGTTGTGGTATATAAACATACCATGTATTTCTATCTTCTTCTATTAAAATAACATTTATCCTTAATTCTATATATGTGCAGGCTTCACGTAACACGTGAGCAGAAAGATGTTAATTTCAAATCATTCTAGTTGCCTTTATTCTTCTGTTATTCTCCAGGAAATAATACCTGTTCTGCCCATTGAGTTGGGAGGAGGAGTAACATTACTTGCTCTAGGTAAATACAACGTTTCTCGAGAGATACAAAACATTGGATTTAGACAGTTTTTGCACTATCTTAAAGATCAAATAGTCTGATGGAATATCAAGTAAAAGAAACAGTCCATCATTCCGTAAAAGCAAGTTCACACCCTTTTTTGTGTTTAGTGTTTTTAACAAAGATTGTTTATTTTTATCTTATTTTATGTCCAATCTCTATAATTCATTCTCATAACTTAATTATTTATAGATTCAGTATTATTCCACCATAAACACTCTGAACAAACATCCTGTTATTCTGTGGACCTATCCCATCACTCGTAAGTAAAATCAGTTTTACCTGAATATACCATAGAGTGATTAGGAAAGATAAAATTGTGGTATTATGATCACAGGGTATCTTATTGTAGAGTTGATTGTAAATGCTGAAGTGTGTACTGCCCTTTACTTGAACTTTTGTGCCGTAAGTTTAGAAAACGCTTTTTAATGACGGAAATGGAATTTTACAAAGCTAGAAGGACTTATGACCAAAAGAAAAATTAAGTCAGTCACTGAAGCAATATAGTTATATGAGAGAGTTATCGAGTCTTGGAGATGTTCTCTTTGAGATGTCAGAATTTCAGCAATGTTCAAGAAAGACTATGATTTCAAGTTCATTGCAGCCCGTCACTCAGGAAGGAGAGTAGTCAATGTCTGCTACACTCAGGACAGATGTTCTTGATTTCACCTGAGGATCAATTTCAGCGCAAAAAAAGACATGGATGATTGCATATTGCATGGTGGTGTGACATCTAGCGAGCTTGAAATCAAGTGGGGAGGACTGTATAGGACTCCCAGATTTACGTTAGCAAGAGTAACCCAATAACATCTATTATCGAGCTTGCCCAAAAAAATCAGCGAATGGCATTTGCCAATAGGAGCTATCTCATTAGCAGGTGAGATGGTGGCACCGAATGGCAAAATAAATGGGTCATAGGGTAGTGATGAGCCTCTCCAACTCATGAGGTGTGCTGCTAAGATAACCACAGCTCACAGGGGTGTTTGAGTGTATGCAGAAACAATAGACGAGCTGACAAGCACGCTCATCATTTTTCCACCCTAGAGGAAGGGCCTACAACTCGTCAGAATGACGAAATATCTGAGAGCACCTGAATAATGTGCCCATGAAGTCTAGGGTACCTTGGTCCGGTGATGAATGGGAAGCTGAAGCTCTGGCAGGGAACTGGATAGTCCAGTTTGGACCATTTGAAAAATACATATTGATAGGCGAGTTAAATTCAGCGGCAGATTGTTATCTGAGTTGTTTAAAATGGTGAAGATGCGCATTTTATGTTATCACACTCAGCCTGACGATTTCATGGAATGGGTGATATAGATTATA